TATATATATATTTAAGGAGAGAGAGAGATAGAAATACTTTTAGACAAACAACTTTGAAGTAGTTAAAGCAATAGAGCTTTCCCATCACACATCAATACTAGCCAAACAAGTATTAATGACTTTGGGTAAACCCACGGCAATATAATACTTACATGGAACATAATTTAGGACGTTAAGAATAGAACAAGCTGAAAACTGAGTTCCCACGCCATTAAGTGAAGCTTAGTGGCATCAATTGCATGGCGCATCGCTTTTAAATTTTCTTTTAGCCCGCAAGAAAATTTCTTTGTATCTCTCAAGGAACCTCATATGAGAAAGTTCGTTCAAGGTACTAATCTTAGCGATCAGACTTAGTTAAGGTAGTTTAAGCAGATGACAAAAAGCAGAAAGTAGGGGGGTGCCATATTCTTAAGAGTTAAGACAGAATATACAGAATTCAAAAGCTTTAGGAATCATTTGGAAATTGGAAGATAAAAAATTAGTAAAACTGAATTTATAAAGCAAAAAAGCTCTTAATTTTACCAATCTAATTCTTGGGCGATTTTCTCCAATATTTATAAGGCTCAAACTATCATGGCACCTATGGAGGGGTTTATCATATTTGCTTTAAACTATAATATATAGGGCGTTCATAAAAAACAGAATGTTAGCAGTGATCATGTAATCCAAAGAAGTTTGGTGAAATGTTGAATTCCAAAAGAAAATATTTCAGATTTCTCATGAACCGGGTGCAATAACAGAGTGTAGCTTACTTCATCTTGCATATGAAAGTCGTAGGCTTTTTTAGCCTGTTCTCAACCCTATCCCCGGTCAGGAACGGAGCAGTCCGTCTATCACCCATCCTCGATCCCACCATTGACCCATGCGGTCTTCCAGTGGCTCGGGCACCACCGATGTTCGCTGCCAACATTTGAGTCTTCTGCAGTACCTTTGCCTGTGACTGTTTCAACATCAGCTGCCTCTTCTCCTCCTGCTTTTGCTTCTCATACTCCCTCTTCTTCCTTGCGATCCTCTCCTCCTCCGTCTCCGCTCTTCCACCGGGAACAGAGTCTTGGCTGGATGCGGTGGATGGGGCTTCTGATGTCTAAGAGAATTATGGACGGGTATAGGGACAGGGACAGGGGCAGGGGCAGGGGCATGGACAGGGGCAGGGGCATGGACAGGGGCAGGGGCGGTAGAGGTTGCGGGGGCTAAGAAAATACCTTTATTG